TTGATATTATTATAGAATGAATTTTTCATAACATTTATTTATATATTAAATTTAATTAATTTTAATACACTATTTAAATTAATAAATGAATAAAAAAAACAAAAATTATTTTATATAAATATACTGTAGATAAATTATTATTTTATTACTTTTATATTAATTATGAATAAATTTATATATAATAAAATTTTGATTTGATATTATAAATTTTTAAGAAAAATATATAAATATATAAATAAATAAATATTTATATATACTGTTCCCTCTATACATACAATATAATTGATAATAATATTATTATAATTATTAATATGATATAAATAAGTAATGTAATAATGTGTGTAAATATATTAAATTGAAAAAAAATAAAAATAAAAATAAAAATAAAATTAAAAAAAAAATTAAAAAATTAAAATTTTAAAATTGAAAAAATACTATATGTTTAGTTTGTGTGTGTATTATGTATGTGTGTGTGTGTGTGTGTGTGTGTGTGTGTGTATGTGTATGTTTATTGAATAAATAATATAAAAAAAATTAAATAAAAAAATAGGTTTGTGTTAAAGACAATGATAGGTGTGTTATTGGTAAACAATGTAACTGGTTTTTTATGTGAGTGTAAAAATTTTTATTATTTAAATTTTTAATTTATATGAGTGTGTATGTGTGAGTTTATTGTTGTTATAGGGTGAAGTGTGTGTGTGTGCGTGTGAATATGTATATGCGTGAATTTTTTTTTTTTTTTTTATATATGTATAAAAATATAAAATGTGCAAGAAAATAATAAGTTAAACACCAAAAAATATAAAAATAAAAAAAAATTTAAAAAAAAAAAATAAAAAAAAAAAAATAAAAAAAAAGAAATTTTTTAACTGCTATTATCGATGCGCATCAAATTTTAATGTGAGATCTCTGGCTTTACTTTTTGTGTCCCAATATTTATTATTTTTCATTTAAATATACAAAATGATTTAAATATATAAATATTTATTATTTTTATATTGGATGATGTTATTATTTTTATTATATTGATAATATTATTATTTTTACTACACACCACTACCACCAATACATATATTTTATACACACATAGTATTTTTATATAATATAAATTAAACAATAAAGTGTGTGTTTGAATATGAAAAAAAAAAAAAACAATAAAATAAAAAAAAACAATAAAATACTTTTTTTCTTTGTTAATTTCAAGATTTTAAAATTATCCTTTTTTTTTTTATTGCCAATAAATTCCTATTCTCTTCTTTTTTTTTTTTTTATTTATTTATTTTTATTTATTTATTTTTTGTAGTTGTTATCTGATAATTAAATATTATTATTTTTAAAGGTTATTTGTATCAAAAAAATATATAAAAATAATGTAAATTAAAAAAACAAAAAAAATTAGAAAAAAAAAAAATTAGAAAAATAGAAAAAAACTTTTATTTTTTTATATTTTTTTTTATTTTTTATTTTTTATTTTTTTTATAATTAAACAGAACCTTAAAATGATCCAATTTGTGATTTTGATTTTTAATTTATTTTTTTAATTTTTATTTTTTTTAAATTTTTTTTACTTTTATAAATAACCCTCTGATAAAACTAGTTTTGTAATAATATCAATAATAATTGAGGTTGATGCTGAATAATTTGGTTGTTCAATTTTTTTCTTTAATAAATGGTTAAATAAAATTCTGATTTCTTTTAATAATACTATAATTTTGCCTGATGTTGCTTTAAATTTTAACCAATGATCCAATGTTATTTCTTGATATGATTTGTCTATTTCGATTAATCCACCTAATGAAAATAATAGTAATGTTAAGGGTGATAGATTACTAATTTGATGGATAAACATTCTGGATGTTTTAACTTTATCATTGAATATGATGAATGGATAAACGTAATCACCTTCACTCATATTCACAGACCTTGGATGAACAAATACTCTTTCAAGTTCTAACTGTTGTTGTTCGGATTGAGTTGATACTGAGCTTGGTGGTAATTTAGTTTGGATCATCAAGTCCTCTGGTTGGAATTTGTTTCTAATGGCACCACTTGCTGTTTGAGAGTATTTGGCATCTGGTAAATCTATACGACCAACTTTTGGATACATACCAGCACAGAGTACACTATTAATAATTTTAGTTTTGGTAGAGTTGGAGTTGTAAATGTAACCACAAATATCCTCAATGCCATCAGTTCCATTGAGCTTATTGATTTTTTGGTATTTAATCATCTTTTTCATTGTGATACCACTTGGTAAGAAACCAATGTCTGAAAGGATTTCTACAAACTGAATCTTTAAATCTTGAATAGTACGAAGTGTTGAAATTGATAGATAGTTATCTTTACAGAATTGGTATTCATTTCCGTCAGCAATCGCTTTTCTCCATTGATTATAGGCATTGACAAACATAAGGTGATCACTTTGATGTGATGCAAATTTCTGATGTGGTCTTATCTTTTTATCTGATGGATTTAAGAAGGGTGATTTTGAGCTTAAAGTTGCTGCAATGGTAAGCATTGGATCGATACAACGGAATATACATCCAAACAATAGCATTTTACCTATATATACATCGACTGGTAATGATGCAAGATGGTGTCCAAGAGGTGTAAGGGTTTGGGAATTGCCGGTGATATCCAAAGCATCGATTGAAATAAGCTCGTTGATTGATGACTGAATTTGCTCTGAGCTTGGTGGCTCAATAGCGTTAGATAAAAATTGTTGGATGGTGGTTTTCTTTTCATTACCAATAAAGAGCTTAACATGTAAGCATAATTGTTGGAGTGATGTACGAAGTATTTCTGGTGTATCTTGATCTTGGAATTGTGATTCCATAGCTTTAGTAAAAACTTTATAGCAAAGACCAGATGAGGTACGACCAGCACGACCAGCACGTTGACGACATGATGCTTTTGATGTCCATGTTTCCTCCATAACAGATGCACGCGTAATTGAGTTATATGACATTTGATTAACACGACCACAATCGACTACTATTTCAACATCTTCGATGGTAATGGATGTTTCAGCAATGTTTGTTGATATTACAATTTTAATTTTACCATTTGGTGCACTTTCAAAAACTTTTTGTTGGTCCTGTGGCGAAAGGGATGAGTGTAATGGAACACACCAAATCTTATTACAAATAAATTCAGTAAAAGAGTTTGCTGGTTTTGATAACCTTGAGCATAGTTCCAATATATCGCCCAAACCTGGTAAAAATACAAGTATTGATTTATTTTTTTTAACTACAGTTGATACCAGATATAATATTAATGATTCGACAATATCATAATTAATTCTCTTTTGATCAAAATTAATTTTATTTTGATTTAATTTTAATTCCAACTCTTGGTTTGGATCGGCTATTGCTGTAGTTGTAGTTGTTGTAGTTGTTGTAGTTGTGGATATTGTATCTTTATAGTTTGGATTGTATTTGCTTAAGTTTGATAATATTTCATCTATATATATATTTTTAACTGGATATGTAAAGCCTGGAATTGAAAATATACTATCTTGGTTACATTTGAAATAGTTTGATATTTGATTCGCATTCAATGTAGCAGACATTAAAATAATCTTTAAATCCTTTCTCTTGGAAATAATTTCCCGAAGAATAATTAAGAGGAAGTCATTGTCAGTTGATCTTTCATGAACCTCATCAATAATGATATGAGATACATTGGCAATACTATTGACGTCTAAAATTCTTCTAAGGAGAATACCAGTTGTACAAAATAAAAGTCTTGTTGATGCTGATCTCTTTGACTCATTTCTAATTTGATAACCAACCATCTGACCAATTGCACCATTATCGCCGCAATTCCATTCATAAGAAACTCTTTCTGCAACACCAATTGCTGAAATTCTTCTTGGTTGTGTACATACAATATTACATTCAGAACCTTTACCGCTCTTTACAAATGATTCTAAAATATATTGAGGTATTTGAGTACTTTTACCGCAACCAGTTTCTGCAGTGACTACTAATACTTGATTAGCATCCAATGCTTTTAGGAACTCCTCCTTTCTTTTATAGACTGGTAATAGTTGACGCTTCTTATTTATTTGTGTTTTATCTAAATCTTTTGCAATTAATTTTTCATAGTTTTCTAATAAATCTTTATTTATCTTTTCTTTTTCTTGATTGGTAAGCTTATTACTATAATCAACATTCTTTTTATTTTTCGTTGATTTATTTGATGATACACCTGAGTCAATTGATAGATTTGAAAATGATGAACTAATTGAAGAGGAGGATGATGAAAGTGGTGAGTCTGTGTTATTATTATTACTATTATTATTAAATTGTTGATCAATATTTATTGGGTCTAATGTTTTTAATTTGTTATTTAAAATATCAGTTTGATTATTATCGATCCATGCTATAATATTGAATATCATCGGTATACCAATTGAGGTTTCTTTTAATTCGTTTAACAATGATCTAACAACAGTTTGGTTTGTTAATTGGGTGGTTTTATTGGATGTAAATGTAATAATTGGGAGTGAGTTTGGATAGCAACAAAATTCTGGAATATAAATAAATAGTTTAAATTGTTTTGTGTTCTGATTATCATTTCCGCTATATTGATATTGATAAAATGTATCGATATGTTTAAAATCGATTTCATTATTCATATATATTGATTCTAATGCTGACTTTTCATCATTGATTTGTTCAATTGATTCCTCCTTATTTAATGTACTTTCTTTATTTTCTAATTTGAAAAACTTGTAATAGACCTTAAAGAACATATCCATTTCGTCATTGGTTTCAACCTTTGATTGGCCTATAATTTTACTGATATCTCTATTTAAGAATCCCATGTTTTCAAACTCGCTCTTTAATCTACTATAAATCGGTTTATTGATATCGACCATGGTAGTTGGTAATATTTGGTCGCTGGTAGCACCGCCCTTTTTTTCTAAACCAACAGTCTTGGGTCTGAATTGAACCGGTAGGAATGAGTTTGGTATGTTTAAACATAACCATTCTATAATTCCTTCGATATTTGTGTGGTTGCTAATATTTAATAATGCCTGTTCAATGTCGCTCTCTCTAAAACCTAATTCAACTAATGATGATAAAATAAGCTCTCTTTCTTTTTCGTCCAAATGTTTTCTTTCTTCAAATGATTGTTGATCTTTTGCACCAGAACTGCCAATACCTAGCTCCAATACCAATGAGTGTACAATTCTCATAGACTCCTCTGATAAATGAATTTGTGGAATAACTTGTGTATGTGATGGAGGTTTTTCTTGAGTTTGCTCGAGTTTTTGTTGCTCTTCTTGCTCTATTTTCATTTTTTCCGCCTCAACTTTTGCAACTTGGTCCAACTGTTGCCAGTAACTAGTAAACTCTGGTGGGAATAGTTTATAAATTGTTGTATTGGCACATAAATCATAAAGTGCAACTAGTGCTGAATACGCTCTTGCCTCTTGTACGCTTTCAAATGGTGTATCTGTTGTATATGATTTTTGAGTTTTTTGTTTCTTTTTACCCTCAAATGTTAAAGTCACTTGATACTTAAATTTGCCCGGTTTACATTTCGACTCTTGAAATATTGGTTTATCCATTTGATTTTTTTGACAATATTCATTCTTTATTAATTTTTAAAAATTAATTTATTGGTTAATATAAAAATTAATGAAAAAAGAAAGAAAAGCTCATATTTATATACATACCAAATATTGTACTGGAGTTTTACCAGTCCATCTTGGTTTTTCTTGAACAGGTGGTGCAATTGGGGCATCGGCGCCTTTATCTTTACCACCTTTAGCAACAGGTGCTTTATTTTTTGTTGAATCTTTATCGTCTTTTGAGTTTTTCGCATTGCTTGAGGCGCCTTTATCTTTACCACTTTTATCGCTTCCTTTTTTATCGGTAGGTTGCTCTTTTGGTGATGGTTTAGATGATGAATTACCTTTAGCCATTTATCTATCTTTGTTTACAACTATAAACAAATAATATGGTGATAATAACCCAATGACTCGTTTATTTAAAAAAAAAAATTTAAATTTTTGAATAAAATTTTTTTTTTTTAAAAAAATGAAATTTAAATTTAAAAAAAATGAAAATATTTTTAAATTAACTAAAATAAATATGAATTAATTTTATCCTTAAAAAAAAAAGAGTATTTATGGTGTGTAATTATATTTTTAAGATTTTTTTTTTTTTTTTTTTTTATTTATTTAAAAAGGTTTTTTTTTGTATATATACGCTCTACATTGGAATAGATTTATTGGACTTTGGCTTTTGAACTACCAGTTGATAAAAAGGTAGTTAAACCACTGGCGAGTGATACAGAGGTAATATAGTTGTAAACTAAACCGACATTCTTGAAAATAATGAATGAGAAAACTAAAAAGCTGATTAAAAAGACAGCATTGTTATACATGACTGAGGCAGCGATGGCTTCATTTGAAGTGTGAACAGATTGGAGTTCTTTTTGGGCAGCAGCAACTTTCTTTTTGTCACCTGAAACTTTACCAGTTTTTGGAACGTTGTGTTCTCTGGCACTTGATAATCTAAAAATAAAAATAAAAAAATTATAATTAAAATTTGTAACTATTTTTGAAATTTTCGTTAATGGTATCTGATAGTGATTATGATTTGGTGAAATGTGATGTATATTATATTATGTGGCTGTGCTATGATGGAATGTGATAATGATGATTTTGAAAAAATTTTGATCCAGTGTATGATTATGATTTTTTTTATATTTCCCATAAATATTTATGATCATTCTTATTATTTGTATTATTATTTTTCTAGATCGAGGCTTACTTTAATTTTTTCATTCTGTAAATGTTGTTGTAAGCAAAAGTAAGAACAATTGCTGAGAAAAGAGTGACTGAACCATAAACAATCATGTTTTCTTCGAATGATAAATAGAAAATGGCATGATATAAGTCTAAACATTTAAATTAAAAAAATAAATTAATATTTGAACATTGTTATATTTAGATTGGATATTATAGTTTTTTATATCTTTATTATTATTATTATTTTTTTTTTTTTTTTTCTACATACAAACTGGAACTAATGAAACAAGAGAACCCATAATGAAATAAAGGATACGTTGTTCAGTTGAAACGACATTTTCGCTACGATAAGCTGAGAATTCATCTACTTCAGCCATTTTTATTTTAAATATGTGATGAGTGTATAAATATTAAAAAAAATATTGAACTAAATGTAAAAAAAAAAAAAAAATTGTTTTTTTAAAAAAAAAAAAAAAATTTTAAAAAAAATTTTTTTTTTTTTTTTAAATTTTTTTTCATCACACTTTGATTTTGACCTAAAATTGACTTTTATATTTTTTTAAATGAAAAAATAATAATATTTCCAAAAAGTACTAAAATAATACTTATCATTAACAAAAAAAATAAAATAAATATTTATTTATAAAATAAATAAATAAAAAATAATTAAAAAATAAAATAAAATTAAACAAAAAAAAAAGAAAATATAAATTTGTTTTTGTGAAATTTTTAAAAAAAAAATCCCTCTTTTTTTTTTAATTTTTTTAAATTAAATTTGGCGATAAAAAAAAATAATAAATAAATAATAAATAATAAATAATAAATTATAAATAATAAAATATAAATAAATAAAAGATATGAGTTTAAAAAATAAAAAACAAACAAATAATAAAGAAAAACAACCAATTAAAAATATTGCAGGAGATGAAAGATCATTTTATGAAATTTTAGGTGTTTCTAAAACTGCATCAGATGCCGAAATTAAAAAAGCATATTATAAATTAGCAAGAGAAGTACATCCGGATAAAAATAACGGCCCAGATGCTAAAGAAGAATTTCAAAAATTAGGTAGAATCTATTCAATCTTAAAAGAGCCATCATCAAGAAAATTTTATGATAAACATGGTGATGTTGAAAGGTAAATATTATAAACTAAACTAAATATTTAGATCCTATAATAGTACAGTAACTTACCAACTTTGAAAATTAATTACCATAATAAATAATTTTATTAAAATATAGAGAAGGATTTGGATTATCAGGACAAGATTTATATGAAGCTTGGTTACAACAATATAATATCGTTAGATTAAGCGAAGAAAAGATTCACGAATTTTTTAAACAACAAGAGGCTCAAAAGAAATCAAGTGGTAAAAATGTTAGTAAAGACGAAGAAGATGACTTAATTGAATTCTATAATAAAAACAAAGGTGATATGAAAAGGTAATTTTGCTACTTCTTTGTAAGAAATAATTATATTCAAATATTAATATTTATTTATAGAATTAAAGAATATGTAATAGGTTGTGAAACTAAAAAAGATATCCAAAGAATGTGCGACCATTTAAAGTCATTGGTAAACGAAGGTAAATTAAAGAGTTTCCCAATATTTTTTAAGAGTGGCACATTTTCACCAGAAACATCAACAACCAAAGGTAAAAAACCAACACAAGTCATAGAAGAACCAGAAGAAGAAGAGGAAGAAGTCGAAGGTGAAGATATTGGTGATGAAGAGGAAGAGGATGAGGAAAGTTTTGATGACGAAGATGACGAAGATGATGAGAGTTACGAAGATGAAGATGAAGAGGAGGACGATGAAGATATGATTGATGAAGATGATTATAGCAAAAATAAATCAAAAAAAACAAACTCAAGTGCAAATCATAAAAAAGTCGGAAAGTCTCCAACATCTACTAAAACCAAAACAAGTTATTTTGCTAAACAATTAAATAAAAAGAAAAAATAAATCTTATACAATAAACATATAATTATAATGTAAATTGTTTTTATGTTCTTTTTTTTATTTTTTTATTTTTTTTTGAAAAATTTTATTTTTTGTATATCACACATATTTAAAGATTGAAAAAAGGTTTTTTTTTTTTTTTTAGATTACCGAAAAAAAAAAAAAGTTATTATATTATATTATTAAAATTGATTATTTCTTTGATAATTTAATCATTTCTAATTCTTCTTGTGATTGTTCACCAGCTAAAATATTTGGGTATTTCTTTAAGTTTTCTTCAGTGTTGAATGGTGGTAAAAGAGTAAGATGTTTATCAGAGGCAACATGACTGAAAAGAGTTGATGAAATTCTCCATAATGAACGTTCGGCTTCTTTAGCTTTTTCGACAGCAGATAAAGTGGCTTCAGTAACAACGACTTCGTGGAAACCTGCTAAAATATCTCCACCAGTGATCCATTCTAATTGTTTACCAGCTTGGAGTAATAAACATCCATCTGGAACTTTAACTGGAACTCTGGTACCATCACGTAACCAAATGTAGAGACCTGGGAAACGTGATTTACCGTGGATGGTTAAAAGATTGAAATCATAGTGGAAACCTGCAAAGATTTGATCTAAATTACCATATTTCTTTAAATCTGAACCAGTTGGGGCTAAGAGATGTGGACCATTATTCATGATGTTTGTGATGGTATCTTTTGGAAGACCGTAACCAGTGGCAATCATTTGAGCGACAACTTCGCATGATGATAACATTAAACCACCCCAGCTATCCATGACATCTTTCCAGTGTGGGAATTTAGCTGGAATGACTGGTGGGCAATTTAATTCTGGGTATTTAGTATCGGCTGGTCTGTCACCAATTCTCCAGAAGAATCTCCATTTTGGATCAGCGCCTTTTGGTGCATGGGCAGCATATTGTGGTAATAATTTTGAAATGACTTCAGTGTGATCTCTTGGTTCTTCAGTGAATTCTGGGGTGGCACCTAATTGGTAACTCCATTCTGGATGAACATCTTTCATTAAATCTTCAACTGGTTGTTCATAATATTGTTCCATCATATCTAAGAATCTGTATTATTATTATTTTTAAAATTTTTAAAAAAAAATATAAAAATATAAAAATAAATAAAAAATTAATTAATCTTTCTATTTCCATTTTAAGCGCAAGATTAAAGGGTGTTTTTTTTTTGTTTTTTTTTTTTTTTTCTTTAATTTTATATATTTTCTTAAAAACTATAATTTAAATAATAAATGAAAACATACTTTGAATTATCTTGTTCATTGACTTTTGGGTGTTTAATGACTAAACATGAAGTTTGTTGTAAAGTTTGAACTAATTTTTGACAATCTTCTAAAGCTTCAGCAGAAGTTGGGTCTGCAAGAAATCTTGAAACATCAATGATAGCTGGTTCGACTGACATTTTAAAATTATATATATGTGTTTATTTTTTTTTAATTTAAGCAATATATAAAAATAAAAAAAATAATAACGAAAAATAAAAAAAAAAAAAGAGTTTTTTTAAAAATAAAAAAAAACAAAATAAAATAAAATAAAAAAAATAAAATTAAAAAAAAATAAAAAAAAAATAAAAAAAATAAATAATTTTCTAGAGAATTTCTATGACGTATACAGATATGTATTTTTGATAGAGTATATTTTTTTTTTTTAATTTTGATAGAGTTAATGTGTATAAAAAAAAAATATCCTAATTATTATATATATATCATATTCATTTTTTTAACCCTTTTTTAATTTTTTTATTTTTTTTTTTTTTTTAATTTTTTTTTAAAATTTTTTTTTTTTTATCATTATTTTCGATCAAAAATAAATATTGACATAAACGAATATTCATTTTTTGTGTTTATTTATTTAGTTTAAATTTCTAAATTTCCTTTTTATTAAAGGAAATTTGAAAAGAAAACATGATCATAAAAAGATTTTAATTAAATATCCCATTTTGCTTTATCTATAGAGTCTGTTTTAGATAAAAAAAGGCTGGGATGTACAATATTAATATAAATTAAATACAAATATCCAAAAATCAACATCGCAACAATTTCAATGAAATTCAATAAAAATAAAAATAAAAAAAAATACAAAGATTGATTCAATCAAATGGTTTAGGTTATTGGGATTTCTATGGATTGAAAATGAGGGGATTTTTTAGTTTTTTTATGATGGTGTATGTCTTATGGATGGAGGATTTAATGTTCATATTTAATGGAAAGAATGTATATATAAAATGAATAAAGTTTAGATAAAAATAATGAAACAAAAAAAAAAAATAAAAAAAATTATTATTAAATATAAAAAAAAAAATAAAAAATAAAATAAAAAATTTAAAAAAATAAAATTTTATATATGTTTGGTGCAGTTTTTACTATATCAATATTCTAAAAGAAATTTAAAAATTATTTATACATATAGTTATTTACAAATATATAAAATTCATACTAAATTAATTAATTAGGATATTTTTATATTTTATTTTTCCTATTTATTGTAAAAAAAATTATTTTAAAAAATAAAATTTAAAAATAATAAAAAAATAATAAAACGATTATCTATTTGGGTTTAGTAACATTAGAACTATAATTAAAATTAAAAACTTGAATGTTCTTTGTTGATATTAAAGTCACCCATCGGGTGTCTTCATCTATTTAATGATATTTTAGGTTCCTTCTGATGAATGATCTTTTCTTTAGATAAGAGATATTTTGTTTAATCTATTCTTTTCCTTCTCTTTTGTTAGATATGTTTGTGATATTATAAAGGTGGGAATTGTTTAAATTTAACTGAAATTGTTGTATCAAATGTTTTCTTTCTTGATATACCTATTCATTCAAGTGGATTTTTTATGTTTAATGGTGCTCCTTAACTACATCTTCTAAAACTGTTTTTTTGTATCTTTTTTTCGATGAATCTTTGCATTTGGTTATAAACATTTTCTTTCAATGGATAGCCCACAGGGGCAGTTAGTTATACCATATTGTTGTTATTATGTACTTTATAATTAGAGAGTTTTTAAATATATATATTTTAAGAAAACTTAATTTAAAATATGAAATGTTAAATTTATAAAAATACTATGTAATGAATTATACTTTATTAAATAATGTAATTAAACCTCTAAAGAATTTGATTGTGAAATTAAACTATTTATACTAAATATAAACTATTGGTTAGACGTTAATACATTATTGTAATGAGATTATTCGAATTTATGTTTGGTGTTAATATACGTGGCATATTTATGCCAGCATTGATAGCGTCATGATAGTGTTAAAGGGGTTTGGCATTTTTTTGTATTTAAAATTAAAAAATCAAAATTAAATTAGTTAATTGGTTTACCAGGAGGGCGGTTGTAAGGAGATATCTCATCAGCTTGACAGCTTAGCGAAGTGGTCTAACGCGTCTGACTTGAAATCAGATCTCCTCGGAGGCGCAGGTTCGAACCCTGCAGCTGTCGATTATTTTTTATATATGTTTTTCTTCCTGGTGACCTTGCGATTGAATTTTTGTATTCTTCCCATCTTCTTTTTTTGCCTCAAATGGATCAAACTCACCTCCAGTCTCAGCAAGTTTTCCGAATCCCACACGAATTGACGTTACCGTGCCCAACTTGTATGCAGTGTGGTAAAACTCATATAAGCATCAAAACACATACCAAACACAATAAACTGATAACTTAATATATCATTAAGAATCATCTTCACTTTTTAAAAAAAAAAAAAAAAAAACTCACCTCAATGAGAATATACAAGAACGATCCAACCAAACTATAACAAATTCCTAAATGTAGATAAACAACTAAATACAAACCATATTCAATCCATCAGATCAAAAATATCCACCTTTTACAAATTACCAGAAGCCTCAAATGCATCCTGATAACATTTAGAGTGTAATGTAGAGGGAGCTACTTTAGTTGTAGATAAATAATAAATATAAATAATTCTAATAATCAATTCGTTCTACCACTATGCTATCAATGCCCCTTATGATAGTGAACACCGCAGAAAAAAAAAAGAATATTGGCCGAAGAATTTCGTGATTGTTAATGAAAAAGTATAATTTCAACAGAGAAATATAAATTAACATTCACTTTCAAAAATATAAATAAAAGTTATGTAATAACTGTTGTTTTTTTTAAAACACAAACATGAAAAATTAAAGAATAAAAATAAAATTTATTTCTTTAATTATTTATTTTATTTAAAATGTTTATATGGCTCTAAAAATTTGTCTTTTTGTATTTTGAATTAAAATAATATCAATGCCATGTTTATGAATAAGTTTACCGGTTAAATTGACCAATTCTGTTAATCTTTTACAATTCTCTACTGTGGCTTTTACAGCGACATTCTCATTGTCACTACTTTTTTCTAATTCTTCAATATTTTTCATTCCAATAAAAGTATTATGAATGATATTATCTTCCCCAATAATTCCTTTTAATTTTTTACTAGATTCAACGTAAGCTTTAGTGGCTGCTAATAATTCTTTCTTGAGAGAATCACCTTTTAGAACTTTATCCCAGCTTTTGATATAGACTCTACCTTTTTTTTCTTTATATGAAATAAGTTTTGTTTTATTAACTTTATTACTGCTCATTATTATTTCTTTATATTTTGTGTGAGAGAATTTAAATTTTGATTTTTTAAAAATTTTTTTTAATTAAATATTTTGTATTTACCACCATCGTTTTTTTTTTAATTTTTAATTTTTAATTTTTATTTTATTTTATTTATATTTTTATTTTTAGTAAATATTATCATACCAACTGAGTTTTTCTTAAAGTAAATTTTTTAACTATATCTTTATTTTTTTTTATGTATATTTATTTATATAAATAGTTTGGTTTTTTTTTAAAGAAATATTTTAATTGCTACTTTTGGCCAAGGTGTTGGCTGTTGAATAGTTGATTGATCATTTGAACAATTTAAAAACCATGGTTACAAAGAATATACAAAACCCCAATATTTGATTTGTAACTTAAAATTTGTTGATTTTGAAAAAGAAAGAATTAACAAGAACCCCAATGTTTGATTTCTGACTTAAAATGATATTGAAAAAGAAAGAATTAGATTTTAACTAATAAATATTAAAATTAATGTGATTCATAATTTCTTTATTTATTTTTAACAAATTTCATATTTACAATTTGTAATTTTTTTTTTATTTTTTTTTTTCATATATAAAATAGATAAAAAAAAAGTCCAATATGATTAATATTTTTATTAGTATTTTTTATTTTTTATTAATTAATGTTAACAAAATAGTCAATATATTGTATATTCAATATAAAAAAATTATATATATTAATGAAAATAAAGATACCCCACCACACACAATTTTTCTTTTTTATAAAAAAATTAATTAAAAAATAGCTAGAACTGTTTAGTTATTCCCATAAAATATTTACATTTCATTGCTGCATATAAAAAAAATTTAAAAAAAATATTAATTAAGAAATATTAAGCTATCAGGAATTCAATAGCCTAGCGGATGCTCGGCTTTTTATTTTCATCAATAAAAAACTTGTTGAGAGTTTTTTATTTTTGTTGTGTTATATATATATTTGGTTTGTGTTTTCATTTGGTATACAAATATTTAAACTTTTCAGTAAGTTTTTATTTGTTTTTGTGTTATTGTGTTTTGGTTTGTGTTTTAAAAAACTTGTTGGGAGTTTTTTATTTGTATTGTGTATTTGTTTTTATCGGATTTATCTTTCCGGTGATTATATTACAAATATCAACTTATATTAATAAATAAAAAATATATTTTATATTAATATATTTTATATTAATATATAAATATATTAATATATTTTTTATTTATTTATATTTTTTAATAATTTATAAAAATAAATAGATAAAAATAAATTTAACTTTTTTATTTTTTTTTTTAAAATTAAATTAAAGTTTTTTTATTTTTTTTATTTTATTATATTTATTATAATTTTATATATAAAAGTTTAAATGCTTATTGCTTTTGTTTTAGATATTAAAGAATTTGACGGTGGTGGCTGTGAACAAACATGCAATAATTTAATGTATCTTCGAATGTTA